GTAGAGAGAGAGAGAGAGAGAGAGCATATGACAAGAACTGGGTCCAGATTTGTCACAAAGATTTGCTTTGGAGTTAATAATTCTTACATTGCAAAATATATTTCCTAGGCTATTTCCACCCTCAAGACAAATCCACATGTCTCGAAACTTCACAGAAGACATGGCTGCTGTCTGATGATGCTGAGAGAATTCCATCTCAGTTCTGCAATTGTCTCTTCCACTGTTGTTCCTTCGCCACATATCATGATCTTTACAGAATTAGGTAAGAAATAAAATGATCTCAAAGGGTGTGGAATATAGTAGGGATATATGATGCACACCATCGGCAATGCTTTCCCAGGGGTTAAGATAAAAGTAATGCATGGAAATTTGGCCATATCGCAAAAGTAGATGCCTTTGTTGTTGGCAGAGATGCTACCTTTGGTGGCAGCAAGTGGTGTGGGAATGGCATCATCACCCACAAAGATACCACATCATAACTCCCATCCCCCATTTCTCATGTTCCTTTCAGTTTCTAGAGGAGTCTTGGAAGGACAAAGCATCCATTGGAGAGGCTGAGTCTGGGCCAAAAAGAATCCAGCCATGGATGGTGGCCATGTGGGAAGTCAAAAAGGATTTGGAACACTGTGATGATGCCTAGTGGTATATAAATTTATGGAGTTACATCTTGTACAAGTATCTATAGACTCCCATCTCAGGAACATTCATAGATACAAAGGCATGGAAATTTAATTATATGGAAATACCTCAAGTGCATGCATGCTCTGAATTTGAGCGCTCTTACAAATCAATTAGTACTCACACACCTATGCCAACTGTACAGATGTGGATTGATCTCAGGGGGGAGTATTTGTGAAGTAGAATTGTGATGATTTAGTGAGATGGTTGGTTGGTAACTTCATTTGGATGTAATCTCATGCTCTCCTTTGATTTGTTGCTTTCATGAGTTGACTTTTAGCATGGTTTTGAGTCACCTGATCCTGCTTCCTGTTTGCCAAAAGGAGTCAACCTATCATCGCTGAATGATCAGCAGAGCAGAGGAGTTCTGCTCCACGCAAACCCCCACGAGAGACATGATGTATTTATTTGTTTTCATCAAGGTTCGTAATATCGTGTCGTACCGGTATTTCGACCTGGGCTCGATACCGGTATAGTACGGTATACCGAGCGGTACACCCAGATGTATCGAGCGGTACACCCAGGTGTACCGAGTACTGTAGCACTCGGACCGGTAACATGCGGTACAGTGCTACAGTGCACTCGGACCGGTAACATGCGGTCCGCATACCGACAATTTGTTGGACCGGTATGTATCACCCATACCGGGCAGTACAGTTCGGTACTGCAGACCCTAGTCTTCATCGTTACCCGAGGGATAATATTTGGTGAATATATGATAGTATCGAAGTGAAAGATCCCAGTTTGTTATATTAAGAATATAGATACGTAGATTATGTCTCGACTATCGATTTGAATAAGATTAATAATAAATTATTTATTATAATTATATTAAGATCCTTATATTTTTGAAAATGAAATATTTAATCTTATTTTTTATTGCTCAATTAATATATTTTATTGCTCAATAAATATATTTTATTTTAATAAAAAAAATAAAATTGCTCTGTTTTTGGTTTGTTCAATAGAATTGCTCAATAAATATATTTTATTTTAATAAATATAAAAAATTCACGAACTAGAAGTTAGATTAATCCTCTGTTTTTGGATTAACTTCGAACATTATTTACATGATAAAACAAAACAACAACAAAAGCTGCAGCGTCAATACAATACACCGAAATCCGACTCGATAAGCTCGACTCCATTGACCCATGCATCGTACTTGAAGGGCCGGTGATAAAGGAAAGGTATATACTACATGACGCTGCAAGCATTGGCATTCTCTTCGCTGAAGATGTAGCAAGAGCCGGGGGCGGCCGTGGAGTAGACAAAGTTGCCGTGCTGCATCGGCGCCGCCGGGTGGTACGCTCCGCCGTAGTTGTTGCTCGGATGCACCGAGCTGTAGCTCACCACGTAAGATGGCAGCTGTGAGGTGCTGTAGAAGGGAAGGTTAAGTGCCGGTGGGATCGCAAGGCCGCCTGCTGCTTTCTTGCCGAACTCTTGTGGAGGCCCTCCGGGTCCACCAGGATTGCCACCGCCTCCACTGTTGTTGTTGTTGTTTGCGTTGTGGCTCTTCTTCCCCTTCTTCTTGCCGCCACCTGCATTGGTGGCGGCAGCCTTCTCCGTTCCATTCGGTTTCTCCTGCGCCGGAGGCGGCTCCTTGTCGTCGCCCTTCGGGGATTCCCCCTCTGGCTTATCGGGAGCTTCGGGGGAGCTCTCTTCGCCGGAGGAGCTTTGATTGTTCTCGGGGACCTCCGGTGGCGCATTTGGCATGCCATCACTCTTGTTCTTGCTCTTCTTTTTCTTCTTCTTCTTCTTCTTCTTGCCACCCCCGCCCCCACCGGCGTTCTCATCCGGCAGCGGCTCGGGCCAGAGCTCGGCATGCTTCCCCGACTTGGTGAGCTTCTTTACGAGGGTTTCCGCAGCCACGTTTCCGATCACCACAACCTTGTGCTGCTGCGGGCCGAAGCTAATCCTGTAAACCCCTGAGGAACACATGTTCATGTCTACAGTGAGAGACTGAGGAGAGAGAGAGAGAGAGAGAGAGAGAGAG